TCCACCTATTTCGCTTGCGAATTCTTTTTGTTTGGGTAAAAATAGACATGAGTACCCGAACATCGGCCCGATAAAATTTCCGAAACGCGGCATCGGGTTAAGAATTGGTGGCATTTAAGTGGCAGAACTCCAAATGATGTTTCTGGTGAACAGTTAGCAAATAAAGACTTTCTACGTTCACTTGACAGCAGTTGTGTATCTTATTGGAAAAAGTTTAGAGAATATTTAGATCGTTTTATACGGAGAGGGGTCCGTCATCAAGAAAAGATTATAAAGGGGGGCACCATAGGAAATTGACTGCCAATTAATCAATGAGGGAGAAATAATAAAAATACTATTGAGCCTAAGGGGGATCAGTCAATTTCAACGTAACCATAACCAATATCTTCCAACGCCTCTCCCCTCCCCTCTCCTCCCCAGGCGATAATAAATGACCGGTCCCTAAAGGAGTAGCACTCAAAATGAGGATTCTAGGTAAAACTGAGTTCGTAATTTAAGACTTTCAAAAGTAGGTTTCCGCATCTTCCACAGTCGATAGTTCTCGCCTCATACCTATTGTTTTAAAGAAAAGGAACATATCCTCACCTCTGTCTGATCAAGGTCACTTTCGAGTCTTTCTGGCGTCGGCACGTCTTCTGACAGTGGCATAAGGTAACAGATCTTTTTTTCCGGCAACAGCATCATAGTCATATTCTGTTTGACGCAAAAAGATTAGATTCTCAACAAGTCCAGTGCTACTCAAACATTGGTATCTGATGAACGCTGAAACATAAATTTCTATAGGAATAATTTATTTTTTCCACCTGTCCTCTTTCGTAGCTGAAGCTAATTATGATTATATTCAGCGTGGTCCCGACAGTTTGAGCAAGGTTTGATTAAAGATTTGGTAAAACCAAATGCATTTACAGCAGCTGAGACGAGAACTAATAGACTTACCGTCTTAAAGTCGTGCAAAATATTGCTTTCGTCCACGTCGTTATGAGCTGGAACTTTAAACAGTTCAGTTTGCTTCTCTGTGTCTATCTCGATTGTCTCGTTGTACTGTGTCCCAGTCTCGCGGATATCAACTTTGTAATCCACAACCTATGATGACGTGAATGCTCGAATTAATTCTCAAATTTGAGCGAAGTCTGTTTTTATCTTAAGAATTGTACATTTATCTTTGAAGTAACAAAGGTTGGTCGAGAAAAATCGCGTAAATATTCACGTGAATGAAAAGTGGAAAGTACGGAAAAGTAAAGTTCAATGATAACCGCGGTCGTGATTACACGACGGTTGAAATGAAGTTTAATTACACCATGTAACAAACAAAGAGATTTACATCTCTAACGAGGGATGCATGAAAGCTTTGAACTTAAATTCGAAAATCATAATTAAGTTCCCTGTTCGAATTTGCCGCCGTCTTTCCGAACTGGAAGAAATAATTCTCTGACACACTAACTCAAGGTTGAGGATGTGCAATGAAAGACATGACGACTTAATTGCTCATTTTTGGGGGCATAAAGTTTCATACTTTTTAGTTCGTTGTAAACCACAATTCGAGTGGAGAGGACAATATGTTACAATAGTTTCTAGGTTTGAAACCTTTTGGTTACTCTTAAAGGTTCTACGAACTAACAGCGATCACGAAATGACAAATAAAAAGACCGATCAAATCGCAAAAAAGAAGCCAAGAAAACGAAATAAAGGCATATTCTTTGAAGAAATATCGGTGACTCTTTCATCATTGTTGGTTGAATTGAGAGGGAAATGATTTACCTTCTTAGGAGACCGAGCGGAACGGACGGGATTCGCAGATGTCCAGTTGAATGTGGCAACCAACAGCAACAAAACGAGGGTTGGTTTCTACAAGGAAAGAAAAAAATAGAGACTGATTAGCACTCAATCTTATTATATTAATCAGAAGAAAGTGCACGATGAATTGCCAACCAGCTCAGTCTTTCTTCTTGATGATCATTTTATTAAGCCTTAGTCAAACTCATAAAAATTCATCTATGTTCTGGTTTTAAAACTTTACTTCAATGAAAACTGTTGTCAATAAGATAGTGGTAGGTTATGCAAAATAGGATATACCTTTTATAATATTTTGCCGACATTCATAATTAACTTTTAAAAATAACGTTGCAGTTAAATAAAGAATGAATAATAATAATAATAATGATGATCACAATTAACAGTAAAATCCACACAGAGAGTTGGAACTCATTAAACTTAGTTTGCGAAGTCAGCTCGGGAAAGGTGACGAAAAAAGTCCATGATGAATACAGCAGTTCTAGAAACCTGTTTCGAACGTTTGCCGTAGGCTGCATCGTGAATTGTAAGTAACCTGAATGTAGCTATTGTTTTTTCACTTACAGCGAGCATATTTGTCTTGTGCTGGCCTCAACTTTGTTTGATTTTCTTCAGTTTTTTTTTCTTGATGTTGTTCGTCTTTCTTTAACTGAAGCTGACGTACACTGCAACTTGGACGGGCTTTGCTCCTTTTTATGACATACTTAATGCTATGCATATGCATTATTGATGCGTATTTGAATTTAATGTTTCAGCGGGTGCTACACTGATTGAGTTCTGGGTGATTCATTTCTAGATTTCTTAGAAATAACAGGATGCGTGGACAAAGGAATACCAGAAGTCTTTACTACACAAGGCACTTCGTCACCATCAACTGATGATTCTCTGTTAGTTTTTAAGTTACAAATACTTTGCTGTGATGTCGGTAATTTTTTACAGTTGTTATTAGCATCATATGTTAGTCCATCACTGACCTTCTATTACAAAACATGATTCTTAACCGGGAAGTAGGAATTTCCTTAATTCGCTTCAGCATTAGGGAAACTTTACTCATCCTTAAGACCACAGGGTAATTCAATGAGTATTCTTGGACACGTAATCTTGATTCATATTTATTGGAGTATAATCAGTCGCCCTTGACTGTTTTTAAACCGTTTCTGTTCTTTAACCCAAGCCTAGCATTTCTATAATTTGGTGGTTTTGTTCAACTTGAGTTATATCTTCAAGTTATGCTGGAAACTCCTTTTCGAAGGAAACTGGAATGCTGATATAGTGAACTGAATACACTGCCCTGAAATGTTATCACGCTTTATCCACTGAAGCTTAACTTCCTTGTTTTACCTCATTACACTAATCACTCCCTGCATCTGTTTCAGCAAACAGGTGCCTTTCTCATAGTTTTACCAAGCCTTTAACGCTATTTCCCTCCGTATTGCTTCTACTTCCAAGTCGGCTTACAACCCAAAAGACAACCCTTTGTTATTAGAATGTAATTTTAATTTCACTACTCAGTGAGTTTTGAGAACATCTCGGTGGATGTAAAAGTTTTCATTAGTTCCTTTAAGTTTGTTCATATGATTGTCGAATTTTAAACTGCAAGGCGAGAATTCTGTCAGTTTAGTATTTCAGTTTTAAAAACTTGAAGCCCTCAAGATATATCTGCTTAGCACCACTGATCTTATCTCAGTAGTGAGTGAATGGAGTTGTGCTCAGTGAACACGTATCGTTGCCGTTAATTCTTTTCTCTTTAGATANGTTCTGGGTGATTCATTTCTAGATTTCTTAGAAATAACAGGATGCGTGGACAAAGGAATACCAGAAGTCTTTACTACACAAGGCACTTCGTCACCATCAACTGATGATTCTCTGTTAGTTTTTAAGTTACAAATACTTTGCTGTGATGTCGGTAATTTTTTACAGTTGTTATTAGCATCATATGTTAGTCCATCACTGACCTTCTATTACAAAACATGATTCTTAACCGGGAAGTAGGAATTTCCTTAATTCGCTTCAGCATTAGGGAAACTTTACTCATCCCGACCACAAGGAAATTCAATGAGTATTCTTGGACACGTAATCTTGATTCATATTTATTGGAGTATAATCAGTCGCCCTTGACCGTTTTAAACCGTTTCTGTTCTTTAACCTAAGCCTAGCATTTCTATAATTTGGTTACTCTGTTCAACTTAAGTTACATCTTCAAGTTATGCCGGAAAATCCTTTTCGAAGGAAACTGCAATGCTGATATAGTGAACTGAATGGAATGCCCTGAAATGTTTGCAATGTTAAAGCGCTTTATCCAAGCGGATGATCTGCCGTGCTTAACTTCCTTGTTTTACCTCATTACACTAATCACTCCCAGCATCTGTTTCAGCGAACAAATGCCTTCCCTCATAGTTTTTACCAAGCCTTTAACGCTATTTTCCTCCGTATTACTTATACTTTCAAGTGGGTTTACAACACAAAAGACAATCCTTTGTTATTAAAATTTCAACTTAATTTCAACTCTCAGTGAGTATAAAGATCTCAGTGAGTATAAAGAACCGTCTCGGTGGATGTAAAAGTTTTCAGTAGTTCCATTAAGTTTGTTCATATGATTGTCGAATTTTATACTGCAAGGCGAGAATTTTGTCAGTTTAGTATTTTTAGTTTTAAAAACTTGAAGCCATCAGATATATCTGCTTAGCGCCACTGATCTTATCTTAATGAGTGAATAGGTTTTTGCTCAGTGAACACGTATCTTTGCATGTGCTTATTTTCTATTTAGATATCAAGTGCCCTCCCGGAGATGGAATAAATTCATTTGTGATAATAGATTTAAACACCTGTATTTCAGCAATTGCGAAAAAGTAGGTGTTCAAGGTTTGCGTTCCGTATGTATTTTAAACTACGGGGTAAAAGTTTTGATTCGCTTGCTGAAGGGTGTTAAATTAACAAATAATTAATGACCGACAAGGAAGTTATGATTCAAGGTTATTTTCCTCTAAAGCAGGAAGAAAATGATGAAGAGCGATAGACAAAAAGAAGAAATACTGTAGAGCAGAAATGAGCCGTTTAAAAAGTGCCCACTCCTTTTCAAGGGGCCTGCGATTGTAGTAATCAAACCTGTGTCAAAACTATTACTATAGACTTTTAAGTCTGTAGAAGGAGTTAAAATGTACAGCCAGCCATTTTGATGTTACAGTCAGTTCCAAGTTTTCTAAAAGGGACTGAGGTTACCACCACACAAAATATCCTGGAAAGATAACCAAACAGGCTTGGTTCCTCAAATAAGTATAAGTAAAAAACATCATACACTGGAAATGTTTGCGAAATGCCGTGACTGCTGACTTACATCGACTCAACTGCGAGACATTAAATGATCAAACTAAATACCAAACAACGAGGAAACAAAGAATCTAGATGGCGTATATTTCTGAATATAAAAATTAAAAAAGGAAAGCTTCCCTAAAGATGCGTGGAGACGAGAGAAAACATTGACATACTATTTAATGTCACAAATACACTTTTGAAAACCTTCGAACTAAAGAAGCAGATTGCGAGCGAGCTATTAAACCACAGATAACTGGTAATCAACTCTGAATTACAGAACACAAACAGTGGTCGGATAAACGTGACAATTCACCACTTCATTGTGTTTCCAACGATACCTAAAATGAGTGCAATCACTGCATGAGAAAAGGAGAAGGCATGGGAAATTCCTGACCAATGAATTCGTGAACTTTAGAACGGTTAGCGTTCTTTCACAGGAAATGAACTACAGTTCTTATGTTATCTAAAAAAAAAAAACAACAACAGATGTAAGTCTTGCAACACGGCAAGGCTGTGAATCAACGCATTTCCCTCCAAAACAATTGCATGTTGCGCGTAACCATGATTGTGAATCATACATACATACTTTATTTAAGGTATCAAAGAGTAAACAACACAAAATAATACCCTAAAAAGGAAGTTTAAGAGGTTAACCCTATGTAAATAAACTTCCAAAGAAATAAAATTTGAAAATGTATGCTTATGATAAAATCTAAGATCGATAAAAACCAAAGAAATACTGTAAACATGGGCGCCGTCATTCTCTCGATATCTTGCATGATATTCGCTTCCTGGTTTTAGGAGACGCTTACCTTGCATCTTCAAACTTCCTCGTAAGTCAGTATTTGTTTGATAATCAAACATTCCTCTCGGAACTGACGTATTTCGAATTGCCAGTTTTAAATAGGCTTAATTGTTAAAAACCAAGCGTCAGAGGGCAATCAGTGTTCCGCGATTACTGAAACTTTGATGATAATTCTAGAATGACAGTTGAATTTGATGAGTTTTGAGATTATTTGCATTTTTAAGAGGTCAAATGACACTTTCAAAAGAACAATCGATTGGCAAGATTAATGTTCACTGGGCGTAGGCTATTGACAAAATTGAGAAAAAAACGAACGAGCCGAAGATGGCGTGTAGAAGAGTCTTTTCAAACACAGAAAAAAATAATCATAAGTTCCACTTTGCAATACGGTGTACTATGGAGCCATCTTCGGTTCGTTTCTTTTTTCTCAATTTTGTGAATAGCTTACGCTCAATGGACATTACTCTTGGCAATCGATTGTTCTTTTGAAATTCTTAATTGGCCTCTTAAAAATGCAAATAATCTCAAAACTCATCAAAATTCAACTGTCGTTCCAGAATTATCATCAATGTCTAAGCAATCGCGGAACACTGATGGCCCAGTAACTCTCAGATACTTGGTTTTCAAGAATCAAGTCTATTTAAAACTGGCAATTTGAAATACGTCAATACCGAGAGCAATGTTTGCTTATCAAACAAGTAAAGACTAACAAGGAAGTCTAGAGGTGCAAGGTAAGCGTTTCCTAAAACCAGGAAGAAAATGACAAAGCAAGAGATAGACAACAAAGCAGAGTAAAAGTAGCATAGTAATAATTAACTGCCTTAACACTTGTTAGAGTCTTTCCATAAATTTCTCCAACTTTTTGCTGATGCTTTTTGCCTCAGAGCCTGCAACATTGTATCCCCCTTTAAAATAGCGAGGTACCATCGAGTTACTTGCTCGCTGAAAGCAAGTCGAGTATCACGCAAGATATCGACAGAATGACGGCGACCATGTTTATAGTTTGCCGATTCACAATTTTGGTTACGCGGAACATGCAAATGTTTGGGAGGGAATTACGTTGATTTACTGCCTAATTGTGTTGCAAGACTTACATCTGTTGTTGTTGTTTTTTTTAAGATAATACAAGAATTGTTCATTTCCTGTAAAAGAACGCTAACCGTTCTAAAAGTTTATGAATTCATTGGAATTTCCCACGCGTTCTCCTTTTCTTAGTCTTGAATTCATTTTAGGTATCATTTGAAATACAATGAAGTGGTGGATTGTCACGTTTATCCGACCACTGTTTGTGTTTTGTACTTCAGAGTTGATTACCAGTTGTCTGTGTATTGATAACTTGCTCGCAATCTGCTTCTTTAGTTCGAAGGTTTTAAAAAGTGTATTTGTGGCACTAGATAGTATGTCAATGTTTTCTTTCGTCTCCCGGCATCTTTAGGGAAGCTTTCCTTTTTCAAAACAAGTTTAAATTTTTATATTCAGAAATATACGCCATCTAGTTTCTTTCTTTTCTCGTTGTTTGGTATTTAGTTTGATCGTTTAATGTCTCGCAATTAAGTCGTTGTAAGTCAGCAGTTACGGCATTTCGAAAACATTTCCAGTGTATGACACCATTGATGTTTTTATTACCTATGCCTATGTAAGGAATCAAGCCTGTTTGGTTATCTTTCCAGGATATTTTGTGTGGTGGTAACCTCAGTCCCTTTTAGCAAACTTGGAACTGACTGAAACATCAAAATGGCTGGCTGCATATTTCAACTCCTTCTAGTAGTTTTCTAGTAGTAGTTTTCTTGTGACACAGGTTTCGAATTACGACAGTTGTAGGCCCTAGAAAGGGATTAGGCACTTTATAAATGGTTCATTTCTGCTCTACAGCATTTCTTCTTTTTGTCTACCGTTTTCATCATTTTCCTCCTGCTTTAGAGGACAGTAACGTTGAATGATCATAACTTCCTAGTCAGTCCTTAATTATTTGTTAATTTAACACCCTTCAGCAAGCTTAAGCGAATCAAAACTTTTATTCCTTAGTTCAAAATACATACGTAACGCAAACTTTGAGCATCTACTTTGTCGTGATTGCTGAAATACAGGTGTATAAATCTATTATCACAAATGAGTTTAGTCCATATCCAGGAGGGCACTTGATATCTAAAGAGAAAAGAATTAACGGCAACGATACGTGTTCACTGAGCACAACTCCATTCACTCACTACTGAGATAAGATCAGTGGTGCTAAGCAGATATATCTTGAGGGCTTCAAGTTTTTAAAACTGAAATACTAAACTGACAGAATTCTCGCCTTGCAGTTTAAAATTCGACAATGATATGAACAAACTTAAAGGAACTAATGAAAACTTTTACATCCACCGAGATGTTCTCAAAACTCACTGAGTAGTGAAATTAAAATTACATTCTAATAACAAAGGGTTGTCTTTTGGGTTGTAAGCCGACTTGGAAGTAGAAGCAATACGGAGGGAAATAGCGTTAAAGGCTTGGTAAAACTATGAGAAAGGCACCTGTTTGCTGAAACATATGCAGGGAGTGATTAGTGTAATGAGGTAAAACAAGGAAGTTAAGCTTCAGTGGATAAAGCGTGATAACATTTCAGGGCAGTGTATTCAGTTCACTATATCAGCATTCCAGTTTCCTTCGAAAAGGAGTTTCCAGCATAACTTGAAGATATAACTCAAGTTGAACAAAACCACCAAATTATAGAAATGCTAGGCTTGGGTTAAAGAACAGAAACGGTTTAAAAACAGTCAAGGGCGACTGATTATACTCCAATAAATATGAATCAAGATTACGTGTCCAAGAATACTCATTGAATTACCCTGTGGTCTTAAGGATGAGTAAAGTTTCCCTAATGCTGAAGCGAATTAAGGAAATTCCTACTTCCCGGTTAAGAATCATGTTTTGTAATAGAAGGTCAGTGATGGACTAACATATGATGCTAATAACAACTGTAAAAAATTACCGACATCACAACAAAGTATATGTAACTTAAAAAATAACAGAGAATCATCAGTTGATGGTAACGAAGTGCCTTATGCAGTAAACACTTCTGGTGTTCCTTTGTCCACGCTTCCTGTTATTTCCAAGAAATCTAAAAATGAATCTCCAAGAGTGCAATCAGTGTAGCTCTCGCTGAAACATCAAATTCAAATACGCATCAATAATGCATATGCATAGCATTAAGTATAGCATAAAAAGAAGCAAAGCCCGTCCAAGTTGCAGTGTGCGTCCGCTTTAGTTGTAGAAAGACGAACAACACCTAGAAAAAGAAAAAACCAAGAAGAAAATCAAACAAAGTTGAGGCCAGCACAAGACAAATATGCTCGCTGTAAGTGAAAAATAATAGCTATATTCAGGTTACTTAGAATTCATGATGCACTTTACGGCAAACATTTGAAAAGGTTTCTGGAACTGCTGTATTGATCATGTACTTTTTTCGTCTCCTTTCCCGAGCTGACTTCGCAAACTAAGTTTGATGAGTTCCAACTTTCTATGTGGATTTTACTGTTAATTGTCATCATCATTATTACTATTATTATTGTTTCCTTTTAACTGCAACTTTATTTTTAAAAGTTAATTATGAATGTCGGCAAAATAGTATAAAAGGTATATCCCATATTGCCTTACACTCCATCATCTTATTGGCAACAGTTTTTATGAGTTTGACGAAGGCTCAACAAAATGACCATTAAGAATAAGGACTGAGCTGGTTGGCAGTTCATGGCGCGTTTTCCTCTGATTAATAAAATAGGATTGATAATCAGTCTCTATTTTTTTCTTTCCTTGTAGAAACCGATCCTCGCTCTTTTGCTGCTGGTTGCCACAGCAAACTGGACATCTGCGAATCCTGTCCGTTCCGCTCGGTCTCCTAAGAAGGTAAATCATTTCCCTCTCAATCCAACAAATAATGATGAAAGGTTCACTGATCTTTCTTCAAAGAATATGCCTTTTTTTTGTTTTTGTTTTGTTCACTTATTTCTTGCAATCTAAAGACTGGCCTTTTTATTTGTCATTTCATGATCGCTGTTAGCTCATAGAACCATTGGGAATAAGTAGGACGTTTAAAACCATGAAACTATTGTAACATAATGTCCTCTCCACTCGAATTGTGGTTTACAACGAACGCAAAAGTTTGAAAAGATTAGCCCAAAAAAAGATCAGTTAAGTCGTCATGTCCTTGATTACCTGTGTTTAACTTTGAGATAGTGCGTTGGAGAATTATTTCTTCCCGTTGATAGACTACGGTAAATTCGAACAGGGAACTTAATATTTGATTTAGGATTTGAGCTTCAAAGTTTCAATGCATCTCTCATTAGAGATGCAAATCTCTTTGTTTGTTACATATTGTAATTAAACTTCACTTTGACTGTCGTGTTATCAAGATTTAAGTTGTTCCCGTACTTTTCACTTTCCATTCACATGAATATTTACGCGGTTTTTCTCGACGAACCTTTGTTGCTTCAAAGATCAGTGTACGTATTTATAGGTAAAAACAGACCCCTCAAATCTGAGAATTGATTCAAGCGTTCACATCATCATAGGTTGTGGACTACAAAGTTGATATTCGTGAGACTGGGACACAGTACAACGAGACAATCGAGATAGACACAGAGAGGCAAACTGAACTGTTTAAAGTTCCTGCTCACAACGACGTGGACGAAAGCAATATTTTGCACGACTTTAAGACGGTAAGTCTATTAGTTTCCGCGTCAGTGTGTGTCTGTAAATGCATTTGGTTTTACCAAATCTTCTATCAAACCTTGCACAAACTGTCGGGACCACGCTGAATATAATCCGCTTCAGCTACGAAAGAGGACAGGCGGAAAAATACATTATGGCTATACAAATTTATGTTTCCGCACTCATCAGATACTAAATTAAATGTTTGAGTAGCACTGAACTTGTTAAAAATCTATTTTTTTTTTCTCGTAAAACAGAATATGACTATGATGCTGTTGCCTGAAAAAAAGATCTGTTACCTTATGCCACTGTCAGAAGACGTCCCGACGCCAGAAAAACTGGAAAGTGATCTTGATAAGACAGAGGTGAGGATATGTTCCTTTTCTTTAAAACAATAGGTATGAGGCGAGAACTATCGACTGCGGAAGAAGCAGAAACCTACTTTTGAAAGTCTTCAATTGCTAACTCAGTATTAGCTAGAATCATAATTTTGAGTGCTACTCCTTTGAGGACCAGTCATTTATGATCGCCTGGGGAGGGGAGGGGAGGGGAGGGGAGAGGAGGGGTGTTGGAAGATATTGGTTATGGTTACGTTAGAATTGACTGATCCCCCTAGGCTCAATAAGGGAGGGGAGGGGAGGGGAAAGGAGGGGTGTTGGAAGATATTGGTTATGGTTACGTTAGAATTGACTGATCCCCCTAGGCTCAATAATATTTTTATCATTTCCCTCTTATTGATTAATTGGCAGTCAATTTCCTATGATGCCGCCTTTATAATCTTTTCTCGAAGTATGACCCTCTGTATAAAACGGTCACAATATTCTCTAAACTTTAATTTTTTTTTTCAATAAGACACACAACTGCTGTCAAGTGAACGCAGAAAGTCATTATTTTGCTAACTATTCGCTAGAATCATCATTTCGAGCGCTGCCACTTAAATGCCACCAATTCTTAACCCGGTACCGCGTTTTAGAAATTTTATCGGGCCGATGTTCGGGTACTCGTGTCTATTTTTACCCAAACAAAAAGAATTCAAAAGCGAAGTACATGGATCGATACGGGTTCTAACTTTTTTTTATGTTGGCTAGCTGAATAAGGAATCCAGTGGACTGTTTCGTGAACAGTGTGGGATACGCACAATTTTTCTTTTACATAGAGATTGCTGAAAACCCTCTATAAACATCTTGATGCTGTTTTGCAGGAAGTGGACGAAGACAAATCAAAAATTATGGAGAGCAAGTGGACAGTGGACAATGAAATGGTGGATCGCTCTGTGTTGAGCGATGATTTGGCGAACTTCTGTCCTGATTACCCGATCTATCGGGCGAAAATGATGGACGACTCAATGACTTCTACAAGGATTGAGACAGAGGGTGTGTTAAGGACAGTGAAAAAAAAAAAAACGTAAAGCTCGAACGCACTTTAGACATCTGATTTTTTCAAGATATGCATTCCAAAGCTAACTTGAACGTGAAACCATACCAAACTACCATGGTTCCTTGAAAGCATTACAGAATGAAGAATATATAAACATCTTTTAACTCGGCTATTGGAATTTTGAATAATTGTAGATGCTGTAGAGTCCCACAAGAAATAAACTAGCGTATTTCTCCTAATATTTGATTTTGTTTTGCAACTACAAATTGCTATGACACATGAAATGCAACCAACTAAAATAGAAACAAAACCATCATGCGTGCCTTCTCTTTCTTCAACAGGAACGCAACATCGCAGTCGTCGACACGCGGCGTCACTTCCGCCAATTCATCCCTGTAATCTGTGCGCAGGTGGAAAAGGCAGTGTTACCTACAGCGATAGGTGTTGGTGTTCCTTGAGGGGAGGATACTGGAGGAAACAAACCAAGGTAGTTGCGGTTTTATGCAGAACGATCCGGTATTGCTCTTGGTGGAGGTGTTACCGGAGGCACCGCGTTTATCGTGTGTATTGTTCGCAATATGTTTGCGAACGTCCAACATACAGGCCACACCCATATTATAGGAGAAGCTTACTCCTGTAGATATCTACACCGTGTTAAAGGCAAGATGGTAACGGAAATCAGGTTTTTTAGCACAGCATGACCAGTAAGCTCATTTTTCATTTGTTCAGTACCCTTAACTTTAATCATTAAACCTACAATAGCTCTTTCCTTTTGATATTTCTTAGTTAGTGTCGTTAGTAATGCAGCTTTCAGTGAGATCTGTTCCTAGTGTTGTGGCGTTGCTCCTATTTCGAATTTGATAGACTCTGTCAGACTAGAAATTTTAACCATTTCCCCTGCGTTAGATCGTATTTTCAATGAGCAATGTTGTTGAAATACATACCGACTGTAGCTAATAGTTTCAGGAGTCTGAGGAAGCCAAGGCTGAGAAGCAAAAATATTTTAGCAGACATTTTCCATAGGTTGGTTTTTATTTTAAGTCCTTTTGTTTTTTTTCCTCAGTTTTTACAAAATTTTTACTTATCACACCGTTATAAATGATTCAAAATGTCATGAAAATTGTTGTTATAGTAATGATCCTACGTGCTAAGTATTATTTTAATAAACAAGCAAGCTTCTTAGTTTTACATATGTATCACTTGTTATTATTGAGTCATGGGGGCTTGACTCCTCCCTTAACTATAATCTGCCATTTCATAAAGCTTTGCCTCCAGTTTCATATCAGAGGTTTTACTTTTGAATGGTAGAAAGGTTTTATATACTCGTAAATTGATCTCACTCGTTAAGTGGGCCGGAATGACTCTTTTGTGGAACTAAGTGACAATGAACCAAATTTGGACTGACCCTTAGGGTAGAAACATGTACACATGAAAACCACTATGTTAATTGACTTCAAAATAACCTTTTATGTCATTCCCCCGCTAAAGTTGTATCATCGTCGACTCACCTTCAACTAGCAAGGAAACTTGAGTAATAAAATTAAACGTTTTGGTTGCGCACCATCTTACATTAGGGTATGCAGTTGACAATCTTTGTGACTGACGGATAGGAATATCGTACACGGATGGATCAAACAGAGGTGATGAAATGTCCCTTTCATTAAGAAAATCCATTTGATGCGAGCTCTGTTGGCTGCGGGAAACTTGCAAAGCATAAGGTGGTAATGAAATGAAACAATCACAACATTGATTTTCCATTTTTTTTAATAAGAAACACAACTGCTGTCTTCTTTGTGAGTGTGAATGCAGAAACCTAACGTTCAAAAAAAGGCTTAAATTTCTAACTATTCACTAGAATTATCATTTTGAGCCTGTACCACGTTTTAGAAATTTCATCAGCTACTTGCGTCGATTTTTACCCAAACAAAACTGTTTAAGCAGTAAATTTTGTGCTCTAGAGTCTATTTCTTGTTTTTTTGCTTTCGTCCAAATGATTCTTTGCCATTTTCTTCTGACTATCTTTGTTAATTTTTTTGAATTCTAAACCCACGTCTCCAACAGAGTACAGATATATTTCGAACTACCAACTTTATCTGGTATTCCAAACGCTGGGTTAATGAGAATACCTTGACAATCACTTTTTCGTGATTACTAAAAGACGGAAGCTAAAGTCTGTCATCAGACACGAGTTTAATAAAGTGGGATATTAGCATAACCAAGACTGGCATTTGATTTCTATTGTCAGATCAATTTCAAAAGACGTCATGTGTCCACTGAGCATAAAACCACTAAAAACATGAATAGAGAAAAGCCGAAGAAAGCTAAGAAGAAACAAACGAATGCACTGGTTTTGTGCTATTTTATTATATCTACGATTTATTCCACTCTCGAGAATACAAACTATGACTAAAGAAAAATAAAGTTAATAACTGGTGACGACAGAATATATAATCAATAATTCCATTCATCATTACGGCGAGCAGCTGGCACAGGCCATTTTGATTTTCGAGTAGAAGCTGGTAAACAATTCAAGAAAAGATACTTCTAAATTTTACAAGTAAGACCTATCAGGCCCGCAGTAAATATTTCTTAAGTTGTAAATGGTGGTAAATAAAACACAAATATACAAAACTATCCATACGGTCGCCTCAATGGTCGCTTTTTACATTTCCACCTGGACAGAAATTATGTCCTTTAAAAAAAACAATCTCCTGACCATTAACTGGGTACATCATTAATCAAACCCTAAAACTATTCAAGAAAAATGCAACTGTAATTATTTATACATGCGGAATCCACGGTTTCCTTTAATCAAAAGAGATTAGCTCTAGATCTGTCAATTGTCTCTGGGAAGGTGGACCTTGGGGCGGCGATGCTGATCCAAATTGCTGTGGCACTCGTTGACCAGGACCTGGCTGATAGCCTTGCTGAGGTACAAACTGTTGAGGCTGTTGTTGTGGTTCATATGCTTGTTGCCCTGGAGGGCCCTGTTGCATGGGATGCCCTTGCTGCATTGGTTGGCCTTGCTGCATTGGTGGACCTTGCTGCATTGGTTGACCTTGCTGCATTGGTTGGCCTTGCTGCATTGGGTGGACTTGCTGCACTGGGGCTCCTTGTTGCAACGGAGGAGGTCCTTGCTGAAATGAAGAAGGACCACTGGGTGGAACCATGTTGAGTTGTGGTTGAGTTGGTGCTGAGTTGAACTGCATCTGAGATGATCCTCTTGAGGCATCCATTGTTGGAGGAAAGCCATTCCCTTGTGGAACAGGAAATGACTGCGTCTTAGGCTGTGGGGCCTGGGTTGGGTGTTGAGGGTACTGGGGTGGAGCTACCTCTGGTACCAGTGATACTTCCGTTGGATTGGAATATTGTGGATGTTGTGGGTATTGGGACTGGGTTTGGGGGGGTGGTACCTGGTTATACTGGGGTTGTTTCCCTGGAGGTGTTGTGGCTAGGAACTGATTCTGTGGCGTAGGTTGCTTTGGTGGCTGCTGACCCGCAGACTGTCCATACAGAGGCGGAGGGCCAGGCTGCTGAGAGCTAACCTGAGCATACTGAGGAGGAGGTGCTTGGGGAAGTACTTGTGCAGGGGCAGTGGGAACCGGGAGAGACCCCCCAAGACTATAAGGCTGAAGAGAAGATGGACCAGACTCAGGTGGAACTTGAGATGCATATGATGGTGGCTGATACTCAAGCGAGCTCGGCTGGGGTTGGAACTCTGTTTGAGGGGCTGGCACTTCGTTCCTGTATGGCATATAGTCCGCCTGGGCGGTGGGTTTATAGCCTTCTGCTGTAGGTCGAGAAGAGTACTGAGACAGTGGTGGGGCATCAGGGGCCTGATATCCGGCAGGGACAGTAGGGGTGTAGCCTGCAAGTGGATTTTGAGCATTATAAGGTTGTGTACCGGCTGCAGTCATCGGAGCGTAATTCATGGAAGAGTACGGACTGGACTCCCCCGTGGGTGGATACTGCACTCCAGCGTATGGGTTTTGCTGCTGCTGCTGTTGTTGCTGCGATGGGTTCATCTGTCTTTGATAGTGTATTCTCTGTTGTTGCTGTTGTTGTTGTTGTTCAATGACTGCTTGTCGCTCGGCCTGCAAACGCTGCTGGTAAGCTAAGTACTCTGCCTTCTGCTGCCTCATCAGCTCCAGCTTTTGTTCAATTTGCATCCGTCGTAGCATATCCTGTTCAAGTTCCTGCTGACGAACTTTTTCACGGTGTTGTTCTCGCATCTCATCCAAGGATGCACGCGCTTCATGCACAAGGCCAAGTTTCACTTGAAGTGCCTCGTATTTAGCTGAGAATCAAAATGAATGAAAGGAATAAGAAAGGGAATGAAGAAAGGGAAAAAACATGGAGTAGGAACTGGAAGAATTTATTCTTAAGATTATTCCGCTCGAGAGACGTGTTTCCGAAGTAAATAATAAGGCTTCCTATATAATTATTATCTTGATACTTAAAAAAAAAGAAGTTAGAGGGAATCCTTGCAAATACGGGCCAGACGTGAAATTCCAAGAGCTAAAGCTGTGAGAAAAAATATCTGAGAAGGACACCGGGCCTCCTGCATTTCATGGTCATGAAGGTATGATTCGGCATGACGTTTACCAGTATGGCAAACATTGATTTTGCACACTTTTTCAATCAAGTCTAAATGACATAACTAATCTTATTCACAGCTAATGTAAATATTTTCACTGAACTGTGGCAAAAACTGAAAAAGTTCCTTTGCTTAAAGTGTTATCCATTTCAGCTCTAAAATGACTGAAACTAGTCCAATGGCAGACAACAATACCCTGCGTAACTGGCGGTGTTTTTTCACCTCTAATGAACATGAAGGCGACGAAGCCGCGAAAAACTTAACCCTAACAACCCTAACCTTAACCCAAACCCAACAATACAACCAACTAAGAGGGCTAAGACAAGAAAAAACACTAAACCTACCTTTTCGCTCTTCTTGCTCTTCTATGAGTCTCAATATCTGGGGATGCATTGCGCTGACAGTTTGGAATAATGACTAAAGAAAAACAAGAAAAATAAGAAAAAAATCATTTGATATCTTATCGATTAGTAGTCCAGAAAGCAAAAACATTTTAAACAACCGCTATGATACAGTGCAGTGTTGTAAGAACTCTTGAAACACTCCTGCTTGACTTTCAAGTTGATAAGTTTGTATTCTTTAAAGTTGTAAGGTACATGTTGTCGCGCATACATGTAACGCCTGGTACTGCCACAGCACACGCGTAGCTCCTTCTTAATTATTCGTGTGCTGTATGGATTATTTCATTTACATCGTATTCTTGGCGAAGTTTAAGGCAACTAGGTTTGAGTAGTTGTGGTTTGCTTTGACTAAACCAAGAAAAAAAACTATACTCACTAAAATCATTGAAGCGCAAAAACGTTGTTGCCAGGTCATTAATGGGGTTCTGAACAGGTTTTTACTTGAATAAAACAGCTTGGTCATAATGTAGTTGTTACAATTTACACGAAGACATCTACATGTACATGCAAGTGTTGTGCTCTTGATCAAAACTCTCGAGTCTCACAGTGCCCAGTGCCTCTCTCCACCCAGGAGAGTAAATGAGAACCAGTAAACTGTTAGTGAAGAACTAACGTAATGCTGATGTGGGAAGGGAGAAGCAACCCTGAATGGATTGGCATCTTGTGGCACCCCATCTAGCTACATCTAGCTACTTCTTGCTACTGAAAACGTGATGAACTCTGGCCAGTTGGGCCACTAGATTTATTAGGCGAGTTAACTTATTTTTACCCAAGTACGTGAGAGAGCAGACAATAATACCTGCGCTGTAGCATCCATAGCGATATGCTTCCCTTGACCGGAAATTCTCTGCATTCTGTCTAACAGCATTTCAACGTTGCTTTGAAATGATTTCACCATAGCATCTGTCACTTCAGACACTTCTGAATTTACGCCTTCAACCTGATACACATGGGCAGGAAAACAGATCAAGTTAAAGCATGGGAAAATTTCTTGAAAACTTCTTCTTATTCCTGAATACAACCATAGATCTTAATGCCATCACAAATGCCACTTTCATCTAACTTCATTTATCACGATCTCAATACGACGTTTTAAAGTTAAAAATTGATCCAAGAGAAGTGGATCGGGCTTTGTAAAGACATGAAAGTCTTTGCGCTGCGACAAGAGCGGCGAGATTCGAGCTAGCGTGAGATCTATCAGGGGCTCTATCAAGCCTTCTGGCTTTGTACGTGCGTCTATGATAAATTTGTTATCAAAACTATGCAATGTCAAAAAGTTCTGCTTTTGACATTACATGATAGAACGAATTCTTTGGCAGCTGGGCAAATATAAACTCATTTTGTTAGAGCATGTCATTAACGAGCGGATTAGGTGGGCGATTAACGCTGGTCTCCCTTCAGTGGTCGCCTTATTAGTAAAAAAAAAAAAATTAGAGCCAAATTTTTGCAAGGTATGGATTATGAAAACTTTTTGCTCGAAAAAAAGATTAACACGTAAAAAAAACATTAAAGCTTAATCTAAATCAATTATTATACTGAATTTCAGGTATTACACATTTTCTCCTCTTATTAACGAGTTACTGATGTAAGAATTACTAAAAAAAAAATGAAAATTTACAGCAAGCGTGTTGTTATTAGCCATGGGTTCATTGTTGTCTCTCTGCGATTTCCTTCCCTTCTTTTTCTTTTTTCCTTTTAATCCACCAACTCTCGTCTAAAACGAAATATACAGTCTTTTTCTTAGTCTTCAAGGTTAGGTTAAAAAAAATAATCTTCTAGGGTCTTTATATGGGGATAACATGCTGTGTTATGTTTACTCCTCCATACACCTGTGAAATTAGTGACATAATTGGCGTAATGAAAATAATGATACATGCTGATCAAAAAAGATATGAAGCTCGGAACTCAGAAAATGACTTAAACCTTCATACCCTAACACTGGTAATCATAATCACCTCACATTTTTATTTACATTTCCTGTGGCAATGACAAGGAGAATTTGTTTGACAATAACGAGCGTCTTAAATTGATGATCGTGACAACGTAAGGAGAAATTAGAAGCCCGTCAATCTACGGGGTTATAGAGGTAAAAGAGGTACGGGTCAGCAGCCTAATACCAGCCTGATACCACGATAATTTATGTGAAAAGCTTCACTGAGTTCACGTATAACTAACGTATGTAGTTCATACATAACTAACGTATGTATGTATGTCTGTATGTATGTATGTATACATGTATGTATGTATGTATCTCAAAAACTCACCTCCTACCCCTAACCCTGCAGGAGACGGGACCTACGGTTTATTCGTCCTTATCCGAGAAGACTAGAATATCTATCCATTTTTTGATTATAGAAAGGTAGCAAATTCTATTCACTTATCTTAAGACCACGAGTATCGGTCCGGTCACAACAAAGCACACCTTACTTAGAATTTGCTAAACATTTGCCTCATTCAAACTTGATTATGTACAAACTTACATGTAAGATTTGAAATATACACTCCGATGTGAGAACCATTTTTTTTTCTTCCTAGTTTGTCTCTACAATGTATTTTAAACTCAAGAAAACACTACGTTTTGCAGTTTGCTTTAAGAATGTAAGATGGATGGTGGATGGTGATAACCTTTATGTAAGCAGTTTGATGAAATTCATCAAGATTAAATTGAAAGTTGAAATAGGTTTAGTAGTCATTTCTCCATTTTACTTTTCTGTGAGTTAACATTTTATTGCTTACAACTTTTTTCAATTACCTTTTTAGCAATAGCAATAAGTGTTATATACATGTATCATGACTCTGGAAAATAGAACACTAACTCCTTAAAATGGTGAATTCTTTTTCCCACTGAATTTTCAGTGACTCCAGCTCCCAAAAATTTTAAGGAAAGTATGTGATAAAAAGCTGGTCATATATTTAGCAATAAATCGATCTTAAATTTATAACATTTAATTACTAGTGGTGAAACCTGTACAGTTGATTACTAGCAGATAATGCCTTTCATAAATTTTCTCTAGAAAGTCAACTGAAATAGTATAGGACTGGTGCACAAATGACTGGATTTGTCTGTAGCATAATCTGCCGATCTGTTTTAACAAAAGAAAATCTGCAAAAAAATTTACCTCTGTGTGATTATTAGCCTGGGTTTGTGCTGGTGCACTGGCTGGTGGGCTTGTTCTCTCTCTTGTTGTTTGCCTTTCACTCCTCTCTTCCCAGTATGAGCGATTCAGATATCTTGCAAGCTACAAATGAGTTAGGAAATCAAGATCAAGCAAAACCACCCACACATGGAGTAAAACCCCAGGGCAAACTGTTCAAAATACAACTATAGTGTAATCCTAAAATAGAATTAAAATTCAAACTTGGTCTTTATTTTCTTAGTATAAAGGCATAGATGTATCATGGCTTCATCTTAAGTGACTGTTGGGCAAGATTGATAGCAGTAAAATATTGAAAAATACAATACTATAATACTACACTAAAATGTTTTCATTAACCATGAATTAGTAGATACATGTATAACCATGATTCAAGTAACCAGCTTATACTGCCTTTCTGTTGCATACAGAACTTGGAGTTTTTAGATCAGTCTGAAGTTACTCAGGTTTTTATTTACAGTTGAGCGGTGCTTTCTCCTAAAAACTCCTGGCTTAATACTGACTATTTAGATGTAAAATACAATGTACAGCTGTATATGGAATAGGTTTAAAATTTTAATTACAATTAGTAATACAAGTTATATATCAAAACAAACAAAAACACCCAACTTAATTCATAGGAAGTGCAAAGAACTATCTTTTGGTTTTGCTTACAACACAGAATGTACATATTTGCACCTAAATCAATGTCTTTTAGATAAAGGCTGATAGTTTTTAAAGAAACTGTTTGGGGCTGCATTGGTGGGGGTAACGAAATAATTTGGATATATCAACAAAGTTGAAATGGTAAATTGGCCACTGTAACGATTACAAAAGCTGACGTTTCAAGCGTTAGCCCTTCGTCGGAAAGCTCGAAACGTCAGCTTTTGTAATCGTTACGGTGGCCAATTTACCATTTCAACTTTGCAGTAAATGGTTTGAACCCGGGGGGGACTTGACTCTGATGATGACTTCCGCACAGGTTGTCGAAACGTCAGTCACTGCCACCGACAACAGTCCTTCTCAGGACTACACTCACCCGGACGATCATACTACACCTTCACATTTCAACTTTGTTGATATATCCAAATTACAATGTCTTTTAGGTCAGGTATTAATTCAATTCTTAAAATTCTTCAGACACATTAATTTTGTACATTTGAACATGTTCACAGAAGGTCTCATATATGGGCTTGTAAAACTGATTTTACAATCAAAGAGATTACTGTGTCATACCTCTGGATCCATGCTGGATGAATCAGTTTCAACATCCTACAATTGAAAACAGCTTTTTAGTTACTATGAAATGCTTTTAAAGAGAAAACTCAAAAAAATTTCTTAACAGGATGTATATGTTAAGGTGTTAGCACTTACTGGAGAAGCATATAGGCCACCGGACTGCCTGTGTGAGTTGTAAGGTTGCTCTGAGACTACATTATAGGGAGATGGTTTAATGCTTGGATGTGCTCGCATCTGAAAACAAACAAAGATACACAAAACTTATAAGAACATACTATCAGCAAATAAACATGTAGAGCTGTACTGTATGAAGACCTCAAAATAAATCACAGTAACTCAGACCAGTTGTCAAGGATAGCTTCACCAGTCATGCATGTACTGTATATGTAACAGCATTATACATGTTAGCATACATATTGTCTAATGTTTATTGCANAAGTTACGATATCTCAAATATTGAACATTTTGATAATAACGACTAGGACAAATTAAAGAGTAACATTAAACTGCATGATGACCTAAAAAATGTTGACAATTATGCACCTATTTTATTTCCCTCTCGTTTACCATGATTAGTCAAGAATAGCACATCTACAGCACATTCTCTAAAAATAGTTTAAGCTGATTTAACAACTTGAGTATTGTAAGTATTCCTCTGAAAGTCGGGTCTACGTGCTTGTTGTCCTGAAGTCCACCAATGTTTAAATATGATAGAAAATTTTACTAACCATGTCGGGTTAGTTGGACACATTTTTAGTAACCAAACATTGAAAACTACTAACCATTGGCTAATGGTTGTTAGTTTTCATTTAGTTTCGAGCCCTGCTTTCAACCCTTCAACTGTCATGAGTGATCAAGACAAAATTTCTCTTACAGTATTAATACAATATCCAGCAGAGAAGTAATGAGAACAAAGGAAATTATCAATTAGGGGATTTTTAGTCAATCCATTACAAAATTCTCCAAACTAACATTGTAAGAATTGCAGGGCTCAACTCTAACTTTTCAACTCGCTAGCCTAGTGGCTGGTGACATCTTAGATGTTGTGACAATTTCAGTTTGTTTACTAGCCAAACTGGCTTGTGGAAATGGAACACCATGCCAAAACTGAATGACAAAGGGCTAACGCTTGAAACGTCAGCTTTTGTAATCGTTACGGTGGCCAATTTACCATTTCAACTTTGTTGATATATCCAAATTACAATGTCTTTTAGGTCAGGTATTAATTCAATTCTTAAAATTCTTCAGACACATTAATTTTGTACATTTGAACATGTTCACAGAAGGTCTCATATATGGGCTTGTAAAACTGATTTTACAATCAAAGAGATTACTGTGTCATACCTCTGGATCCATGCTGGATGAATCAGTTTCAACATCCTACAATTGAAAACAGCTTTTTAGTTACTATGAAATGCTTTTAAAGAGAAAACTCAAAAAAATTTCTTAACAGGATGTATATGTTAAGGTGTTAGCACTTACTGGAGAAGCATATAGGCCACCGGACTGCCTGTGTGAGTTGTAAGGTTGCTCTGAGACTACATTATAGGGAGATGGTTTAATGCTTGGATGTGCTCGCATCTGAAAACAAACAAAGATACACAAAACTTATAAGAACATACTATCAGCAAATAAACATGGAGAGCTGTACTGTATGAAGACCTCAAAATAAATCACAGTAACTCAGACCAGTTGTCAAGGATAGCTTCACCAGTCATGCATGTACTGTATATGTAACAGCATTATACATGTTAGCATACATATTGTCTAATGTTTATTGCAGCTCTTCTCAGAAAATGAAACCGTAATTCTAGGTATGAAAGTGATACAACTGTTCCATCTATTTTTAAAATGGTTTTCTGAGAAACTGTCTTGGTCAAAATTAAAATAATCATATGTAATAGTAATCAAATTTAGAGATCATGTCCAGCCATAAAGGTGAGTATACATACTGAATGTCACCTAATTATTTTAATCTGACAAAAGTTAACTGTCCTGAAAAAAAAAAAAAGCCTTTTCACCAACACTGTAGATACCTTACAGACCTTAAAAACCATGATTCATGCTGTGATAAATTTTGTGTCTTCTTAAGTTTAAAAAGACAGTCTGATTCAAAAACTCACAAGATTCTATTTTAAACAAAATTCCTCCCAATACCTAGATTCATTGTCAGTCACACAGGTAAGATGAATATACAGTGTAGATACATGTATTACCTCATTGCTGATTCCTCTGTGTATTACCAAATTCTCAAAACCAATAAAAGGAAAGTAATGGGTGATAGCTTTTGAGAATATATATTTTGAACATACACGTTTAGCAATGAGTGGGTTCACAGGACATTGAAGCATGTCTGAATTTGACACTCACATCTTTAGTTGCTTCCTCTTCTGACAGTGACAATGCCATAGCCAACTGCAGCTCCTCCTCCTCTTCATCTCGAATTTCTTGTTCAGTCTTCTTCGTAGGAACCTGGCAGCAAGAACATGTACAGTGAAGGGTCTACAAAGAGGCTGAGCTTCATGCATCTCTATTAATATGAATCGGTACAAAAACTTCCCCATCATTCTTCAAAAATTTTCAAACCATTTCAAACCATATTTTTCTGTATCAGAGTACATGTGGTAACGAATACAAAAATTAATATAGAAAAATCATACAAGACTCTAGTCAGTGAACATGTATCTTGGACACCAACATAAACACTGCAACATAAACACTGCTGAAGATACGATCATACATTGTGTATGACAAATCCTCCTTACCTGTGACTCACGACTAAGAGGACTGTTAAGATATTCTGCTGGCAAATCAGAGTCTGCAGATTTTTTTTCTTTGTCAGACTTCTTAGAACTGCCTTCTTCGCTTTTTCTAAAAACAAAAATTTGAATTGTGATAATTTACACAATCATGTACAAGAATGTATGATAAAAATGAATATCATGCAATATCAATTAGAGTTCAGTGTTCATTTTGATTTGAAAGCAAATATTCTCTGATAGCTGGAGTATCAAACTACTTGTATCAATGGTTCCTTGAATTCATAATTGAATAAGCCTGCATCCTGGACCTGAGGCAGAGGTTAATTTACTAAATGCTGGTCACTGGCTACCTTTAACACCTCTCTTACTGTCTGTTTAGCCTGCAAGCGCACTGACTGGTATTTGGGTTTCACCAGCTAATCCCTTGGACCCCTAAGAGTGACCAGCATCTAATTTCTCCTTACAATATCAACCCTGAATCAAACATGAAGGTCAGGAGAAGGAAGAAAATGATCACAAATAAAGGAACCTCTTGATTGTTAAACAAATTCTCCTTGTCAGTGCCTTATGAAATGTATAGAGAACAGTATGGAGAATATGCATTCTGCTGTTAGGGCGTAAAGGGTTTATGACAACAGCCTCCTGCAACACCAGCAGCAGCTACTCATGAAAAAAGTTATTGAAACTATTGAAAAGGTCTGACCAGTAAAAATTAAATAAATATGGCCTGACGGCTGCCTTCAACACACAAAACCTAAAACATGAAATTACCACACCATATTATTATAAAAAGCACTTCCATACCCTGCTGATGGGTTGATCTTGAAAAAACAAGGATCACAAACTCTAACTTCTCTTTCTATTCCATAGTGTGGGATAATGGAATTTTTAGATGAACACTTCTGGCAGAATACTTGGCCACAGTTCCTACAGTGGTGCTGAAGAAGAAAGAAAACAAAATGATGATGATATCCTGCAGTGGCCTTAAGTGGTTAATGCACAAGACTCCTGGTTGAGAGGACCAAATTTCATTGTGTTGTGTTCTTGGGCTTAAACACCTAACTTTCAAAGTACCTCTTTTCACCCAGGAGAATAAAAGGGTACTGGTGAATCGCCAGAGGAGCATGAGAAAAAAGCTGGGGGTAACCTACCCATCCAGGGGGAGTAGCAATACTCGTAGTCCTGTCATGCTATGGAAACTGGGATAAGTTCTGGCTGGATCTATAGGCAACTTGGCTTGAATACAGACTTTTATTTTTATATATATTAATTTAAGTATAATTTTAGAGCTGAGCAAAAGTTTCCAGCAATCTGATTGGTTGAGCGGTTCCTTATATGATGCTATATAAACCGCTCCACATAGTTTATATAAAATGTTAAAATAAAATGTGAATAAAATTAATGTTACTAAAATGTTCCATTTTTAGAAATTTCTGTTGTTCAGCTCTGAAATTATACTAAAACAATTATTCACCTCACCTTTGGTGAATAAATGTTAATTGTAATCCAAAGCAAATGCCAGCAATTAGCGTACTTTCAAATCATCACGAAAGGGTTTATATTTCAAAAAAAAAATTCTTTCTTTGCTCTTTCTCATGACCTCGGAAGGACCGAGAATCTTGTAAAATGGAAAGATAGTGAACTATCTTTATTTGACACAGAAGTTTACAGTTTCTTTATTATTTATATAATTATATGATATAAATAACCATATCAGTTCTCCCCCATCCTAGCATCAGCACTGCACTGATGATCAGGCCCAGAAGGCTGAAACAGTACTGTCTGCAGTTAGTTAAGTATGATTATTTGGGGTGTACAGGGTCAGGGTTTCCCTCGTATACAGAATACATATATGTATATCTATATGTGACCACATCGGTTCTCCCCCATCCTAGCATCAGCACTGCACTGATGATGCCCAGAAGGCCGAAAAGGTTCTGTCTGCAGTTAGATATAGCTCTTCGGCATACAAAGCTTTGCTTTCATGTCCAAATTGAGCACTCTACCTAGGATGCATGCTCACTAGTTTATTCTAGTTTGAGCACTCTGGCACGGCCTTAGACGATACCACGAATGTTGACTCGTTTGGAGTGACCCTCCCGGTTCTCCCCCATCCAAGCAGCAGCAATGTACTGATGAGGCCCAGAAGGCCGAAACAGTAAAAAAGCTTCTCAGCTTCTTGGGTAAGGTTAAAAGGCTTATGAAAAGTTTATTTTTCTTGCTTTTGCAGCAACTGGTCAACATGGACAGCCAGGAAAAAGAAAATATCAGCCAGTTTACTACCGACAACTCGACAGCGAATCCAGGAGACGTTGTAGACGCAAGCGCAATAGAAGGAGGTTCACAGTCTTGGAATGCAGACGTGGAAATCGAAATCCCTGAGGTAATGAAAAATTTGCAGAATAAGGGTGTGAAATTTAAAGCCGTGCCTTTTTTGAATACTCCCAGTAAAAGCAAAATCACGAAGGATCGCTCCATTTATTTTAACGTCGATACGATTGTAACATTGCAATTAATTCTCGAAGGCTTCGACGCAGCAGAAATCGATATCGACACTATCACTGAAATCCAGAGAAAGGCGTCTAATAAATCTTGGGTTGTGACTTTCAAGAGCCGTGCAGCT